CTCCAAGTGCCTCCACCGTTTTCAGACATACCTGTTTTCAGACATACGCTCGCAGCCGGATGGATTCGCCGGACCCCAAGCGACAACGCCTAGAGCCTACATCGTCCTACAATCTGCGATGTCGCACCCTGGTGACCAGCAGGTCGGTTTGCGTTGCTCTAGTGCGTAAATACGCTGTTCGCATCCTTTGCGTTGCTGCGTCCCATGTTTTGCGTTATGCGTTATGCGTTATGCGAACATATGCGACACCTTGTTATGCGTTATGCGAACCTTATCCGATCCCATCTCCTGACTTTCTACACCTTCGACCAACTCCCGCAGTAGTATCGACCCACCGGACGCCAAGCGTCAGAGGCTGGACACGGCTGCGTCCCAGAGCAGCACGTCGACGGTCGGCCCTCCCGCCGTCGCCACGTAAGCGAGCTGCTACATGCAAAGAGCGTGTTCACACCAGTAAGGTACTTACGCTCCGCCTCTCACCGTGCGAAATAGACGCATCTATCAGCTCCGGCGCGCATATTTGGCCGCTGCCTGTTAAGCACAGATGTCTTCCGTCACGTTCATCGCCGCTCGCATGCACCTTGAATATCGTGTAACGCTCCCCATTTGACGCCCCTTTGCAACACGTAGGGATTCAAGGAGCGTCACGTTTCATGTGACGTTTACGGCCGGCCCCACAGAAACGAATGAGGACCGCCTCTTTGCCGGCGCCCAGAGCCGCTACGGCAGCTTCATCGCTGGCGTGAATACCGCCGGCCAGGGGATAGTAATTATGCAGATTGACGATGTCATCCTCGGCAGGCTGGAGAGCAGCCACGCGTTCGGCCACCGCGTGACGTTCGCCAATGTGGATGCAGCTTCCCTGCCGCCTTTCATAACTTCTCGTTTCGCTGGGGTGACGGTGGGGCAGTTTAAAGTCTCCTCAGCGACGCGGATTTCCGTGGAGCCCTCCTCCGCTGTCCCAATGCTCTACAGCGCCAGGCTTCGGTTCCCCGTTTACGATGTCGGCAGCGACAGGGCCCGCCCCGAAGACAAGCACGCGTCGGATGGCAGCGCCCTCCTGCTCATCCCACACGGCGGGATGTTCCGGGGCGGGCCGTTCCGCAAGTTTAAGGCGTGGGTCGCGTGCGGCAACGGTGACAGTCCCGACGCCGGACGCGTGGAGCTCGCCATCAGGGAATCCGCTCCCGACGACTTCGTCGCTCAGCTACAAGCAGCGGCCGATAGCAGCACGCCCCTTTACGTGTATGGTGCCAAGATCAGCCCCTCCAATAGCAAAGCTTATATGAATAGCGTCTTCCTCAGCGGCTCGCTTGTAGCAGCAGCGAGTGCCCCCGGCAAGCGCCCTCCCAAACGAGTGCACACCTTCCAGGCGGCTGTTCAGCGGACTACCGCGGCCACCGTGCCCGCCGACACGACTGATATGGTATTGGCTTGGGAGCAGCGTAGCCGCAGTGCCCTTGTTTTACCGTCGGATGGTCCACACGCCTCGGCCACCCTGTCACCCAACCCCACTTCTGTCACTGTAGTCGGCTCACTACCGGTCCTCCCGCTCGTCCTCACAATCGGCAGCCGCAGTTATCCGGTGTGCACCGACAGCATTGCCGTCATGCAACAGTTGCCGAACTACGACGAGTTCTTCGGCAGCACCAGCTTCGCAGACGATAATGATCGTATGGCGTACGCTGCTTACGACTCGTTCACCGTCACCGGTACCATCACCACCAAGACAGAAGGTCGAACAACGTTCATCACGGCTCTGCAGGAATGACTCGTTCTTGCGTGTTCATCCACTTGCGCTGCCGTCCGCTGCACGTCGTCCAACTTCGCTATGGCTTGCACCTGTCCCCTCCCTTCACTTCCATCTAGCCGCCCCTGGATGGCGTTAAATGCCAGCGTTGAGCGGCTGTCTAGCCGCGCAACGACACGCTTGCAGGGCTGGGTGCATTCCGTGCACTTGTGGGTTCGACTCCCACACAAGTTGGCGGCGTCCCTCGCATCTACACTGGTGAGTGTATGAACGGTATGACCGGTTTCGCTGGTATAAGTTAGGGTGTTGACGCACGAATGCTGTACCGGTTTGACATTCGTGCGTGTCTCATTCGTATCCACCTCTTGCCGCTTCCCCGCTCTCCCTGAAGCATGCTCTGTTGTGCGTGCCCCACTCGCGTATATGATGGTTGGACATAACGAATTGCCCCGATTACCGGGCTTGTCTTCACCCGACCTTTGCGCTGTCGTGCAGGTTTGCATGTGTTGAAGCTGCTGCTCCGGCAAGCCTTCGTGCTGTTCTCTTCGCTGTCCTCCGTTAGGCGCGGTAAGTGTGCATTATGACGCAACGCACATATGTGCGTGTCGGCACGTTAGTGCTTGTCCGTCG